GCTAAAAGATCAACAATATGCTACAAACAACATGACAAAGGCTGACATGCATAAAAGGGCTTGGACCCCGGTCATAACTGCTTTGCAGTTCTAGTTTGGATGTTATTTTTGTACTCAGTTTCACCTAATTTTTTGTATTGTGAGGTGTTTTAATATTTTTACATCTTGATGTAAAACCAGTGAAGTAGAATAAAAGGATATTAAAGACGAGAAAGCATGTAGTTTCTGAAGGATAATGACATGAATCTATGTATGGCTTAGTGGCTAAGGGAGTTGTAGGAACTGAGCTTAAGGTGAATTAAGCTTCTCCCACATCTCTCATACACAAGGTTATGAGGAAAGTTTTACCAAGATATTTTCTCATTACTTTTAATATCTTGACTGTGAAAAGTGACACAATAAGTGAACATTCAGATGAGTTCAAGTTGATTCATAAAATATGCAATCATTTATTTACACAAATTGAACAAATTATAAGCACACTTGATTGTGGTTATTCCTATAAAAAGTGTCAAAGTTAAATGAGATAAAACTCACGCCCGAATTTTAATTCACATCAACTCAGATTACTTATATAGAACAGTAAAACGATCAGCTCTGATGTTAACAACCAAACAATTTTACTGGCACTTTTAGCTTAAGTTTTGGCAAATAAAGAACAAAGTAAAGGATGAAAGTAAGGTTAGTATTATTACTAATTTTACTTTATCAAAGAGTGTGGTCAACCAGGTCAGCACGTCTTTTCCGTGCTTAAGACTTCCACATGACACGTCACCCGGAACACGACAGTTTTACCTGGTGATGGCTTCTTAAGCAACCCCTGGGTAGGAACTGTCTCACCTCCGATCAGTCAGGGGACTTTTTAATCGGCTCGCTCACTGTTCCTTGGAGAGAAAGGTGTTATTTCAGGTAATTTTTTGTCTTTCATTCCAAGCATGAAAGATTCAAGATGGTCATCTGGTTCATCCTTTCAAAATAAAATCTCCCCTCGGGAGTTAAAAACACACTTGGAGACTTGAAGCCTCGGGGTGGAGCTGGCTGGCGTGCCGAGCCCCGGCTGTTGGGTCCCCCTAGTTAGCTCATGGGCTGAGACCCAACAGGCCAAACTGAGTTTCTCCCGAGAGAGAAACTTGGCTTTCTTCCCAGTTGGCATCCAGGAAGAAGAGTGTCGCTCAAAGACGTCCGTGGTTAGTAATAGAAACGGACAAACTTTGGTTCCGCCCTCAGGTGTAAAGATGAGTCAGAGAAAGATCGAGATTTGCCAGCGGCGCCAGCTCAAGGCTAAAATTCTGTGGTTGTCACAACAGAATATGATAACCTTTCTTCTGATAGACTCTAAGAGAAATCACTGCAAAACATTTATGATGATTAATTAACATTTCTGTTTTATAATCAGTTCTGAACCTTCTGTTAGTCCAGATAAATGAAAGATTTTCTCAGGAAAAATCCACAATTATATTACTGTGTTCACAGTAAAATAAAAACAGTGATTTATATAAAACACAATGAAAACCATTGTAATGATTCTCTCTGTGATTTTTTTATACCATTAATTAATCTTTTAGGCACGATAAAAGAGAAGAAGGGGTTCCACTTTCTTTGTGACAGTCATCATCATGATTTAACAAATGCATAAACATTCTTAGTTAAACAACAAATGAATCACGAACAGAAGAGATTGTTCTGTCTATCTGATTAAGAGAACTGAGGGGTTCTCTTCCACGGTTAGAATGACCTGTCATGGCCTAAATAGAGTTCAGTTTGACAGAGTTCCTGTCCTCTCGTCAGGCCTGTCCGAGGCCTGCTTCGAGGCAGTAAATCTTGTTTCTTCACTCGAGGTGACCCCTACAGAGTCGTTCCTCCAATGTGAGAGTTGGCAGTACAACTCCACCGCTATTCTGTCTCTGGGAAAGACTCTGAACCCCCACTGGCTCTGTGTGTGCCACCAGTGTATGAGTGTAATTTAAAGTTCTGATTAGTCTCTATAGATTGATTTACCTGTATTAGTTTTGTAGAGACTTCTAGTAGAAGGCTGTGTGGATGGGTAAATGTGCTTCGAGTATCCTGGTTGGTTAGGAAGATGCTGTATAAGTACAGTCCATTTACCATTACATCTGGGTTTATTTAAAAGTAAAAAAAACAATTCAGAAGGGCCCAAACATTAGCAATTACCAGAAACATATCAGAGCTGTACGTTTATGAATATGTGGTCCATCTCTCCTCAGATGGACAGAAAGGGGACAACCATGCTTTCTTCGCCCTGCGGAGCTGCCACCAGCTGCTACACAGTGATGGCAGCGAGTTTTTCTCCCCGGATTATTTGTGCTCCAACCCTCCTCTGTGGTGCAACTGGACCATTCAGGTGGATCCCGGGAAGAGGATTCATCTCAGCCTGGAGGATTTTACCCCTAATGAGACCTGCCATCTCAAACAGGACCAGATCCATATAGATGAGCCTGCTGGCCACTCGGGGGGCCATAAAGTGCTGCAAAAATGTTGGCAGGAAGCCAAGTACACTTCATCCTCCAACACTCTGTATATAGTGCTACTGATAGGTGGCTGGCCCACCCCTACTTATAGGGGCTTTTACGGACGATACCAGGCTTTTGGTCCACCAGTGGTTTACAATCCCCAGGAAGTCTTCACAAGGACAAGCAAGGTGTCTAAGCCATCAGCACTCACAGACTTTAGTGACTTGGAATCAGATATAAATGGGGATCAAACGGAGTTGGCAAATTCTGATTTGATGTATGATTATTATGATCAGCATTTAACAATGACTGCCACGCTTCCTTGGGTCTCCAGTGGTGCAGACAGAGGTATAAAGGTGCGTGATGTTGGAGGCCATTAAACTTGTTGACAATGTTTTTATACATGAGGTGTACTTTATGAACTCTTTGGAGCTGTTTAAAATTAAGGAGATGTAAATTACTTTGGTTACTAAAGTTGTTCTGAAAAGCTGCAGATGGATAACTCAGCAGGGTCTTAGCAATTTATAGTTCTGTCTTGTATTTTGTATTTTTAAGTGAAATTTTACAAATTCAAAATTCTAACCAACCTCTCTTTTTATAGGCAACTGAAAAGTCATATTCATTCTTGGGGAACAACAGCCATGTCTACCAGTATGTGCCTAGACCCACTGTGCCATCCTCGACCCAAAAAGCCTTTCGATCAGGAAGAGGTGTTGTCTACCGCCATTCAAGTCAAGCTGACTTGGCTGTTCTTTCTGGATCCTCACAGCAGCAGCACTATGTCAGTGATGGGTCAAGACCCAGCAATACCACCAAAACACAGCATGTTACTAATGCTAACAAAAAAGACGGGTCATCTGCAAAGGGTTCTGAAAAAGGTGAGAACAAGCCGGAGGTCAGTGAAAGCTCAGACCAGACGTTCCACTTCTCTGACACTGACCATCATTATCGCCACTCCAACACGGTTGTGCCTCAACCTGACGACAAAGGAAACCGTGAGTACATCTGAGCTAAGCTTTATTTTTTTTCAGTTCGACTTCACACAAAACACTTGTTTCAATTTTTTGTTGTTTTATGTCTTGATTTAGTTTGAAATTGTAAAAAGCTTCTTTTTAAGTAGAGTTAATGTACTAGAAGGACAAAAGAGTAGATTTTTTAAATTAATATCAATTGTTAATGTATGGTGGTAATTTTTTATTCAATCCAACAAAAAAGTAGTTCCCATCAAAAAATCCAATCAAAAAATTTTCAACAAATCAATTTCATTCAAAAAATTTAAACATTTTTTTTTGCATGTCGAAAATCTTGGTTTGAATCTCAAAAGTTTTGAAGTCAGAACATGAACATCTGGGTCGGAGCCTAAGGCATGTAAGACATGACCCTAATGGTTGTGTGAACTGAAGCGATTTCCTCGTGCACCATCTTTGAATGGAATACTGTCAGTCCATTAAATGGACGTTATTCGAGGTTATCACATTGTGTCCAGACTGTCCCTCCTCTACCTTTTTTTTTAATTGGCTAAATCACATAATCAGTAACAACCACAGTACAGCATAGTGATGGGAAGTTTGGCTTTTTCTGACAACTGGCTGTTGTAGAACGGCTCTGAAGATTAGACTCATATTTTAGCTGAACTTGGCAAATATGAATGCTGAAAGTGTTTTTAAGACTCCTTAGAATTGCCTGTTTTATGTTTTTTCTGTTGCCAAGCAGTCGAGTCTTTTAGCCGAAATTGAGCTAATCACTAATGACAATAATAAAAACATGTCTAATCATTGCAGACAAAGACCTTGTTTTATTATTTTTACCTTTATAAAAAGCTGTTTATATCTCCATGGTCGCGGGTCGCCACTACAGGCAGCCGCCATCTTGTCTACGAAGACTCATGAAGGACAAACTGCGGTGGCGGTGTCAAAAACGGTTTTGGTTGTAATACTATAAATGTAATATTTGTTGTCTGTCATTGTAGCTGGGATAATTTTACTTATTAAAGCTCATAATCTTACCACTTGAAACATCACTAGCCCTGAAGCTGCTGGTAGATATCGTGTTGGAATTATCAAAGGTTTTTGACACCTGAGAGACACCGTAGAGTGGGGGTGGGGGGAGGACCAGGGAGGATGATTCAACCACTAGATGTCGCTGAAAACAACAAATCCTACACACTGTGCCTTTAATATTTTATTCAATTTTTTATATTAACCTTGAATGCTGGTCCTTTGAAGGGACGTTTATTTAAACGTGATAACTTGAATGTGTAAAATTAATCAAGGTAAAGAAAACTGATATGACCTATACTTGCTGCCTATAAGAAAATAAATAATGCAATGGAAAATAATTTAAAGGGGACCAAATATGCCAAATTCCCTTTTTTCAGCTTTTTTTTACTTGATTTGTCTGTACTGCTTCTAAAAACAGTCCAAGCACCAAAAAAATGCACACAGAGGTATTTTTACTATAAGTAAATGTATTTATCTGTCTTGAAATGACCTGCTTTCAAACACAAACACTTATCTCACAGGCTATTGCTCTAAGACTGCAAGGGAAGCTCAGCTTCCCCTAAAATGTAAAAAAAAAAAATCAAATATATACTGTTGTGWGTACATGTCATTGACTAAATATTTGCTACAACGCACACAACCTTTTTTCAGAATCAGCTTTTTATTAGTAGTAACAACGCGGACTTCCTCTCACTCATTCCTGCAGCTTCACAGCGCTTCAGTGCGGACGCTCATCTTCCACAGAGTTCATTAGAGATGCAAACAGTGCAGCGAAACGAGTCGAGTCATTGGATAAATGCTGGGCTTTGTCCCGCCCACGGATGCTCAGCGTCTGTGGGGCAGTGGGCTGGCCTCGGCTGCTCAGCTTCTTCATGATGATTGGATGATCTGTCGGAGCCTGAATCCTTTTTTTGATTGACAGCGAAATGAGTGAATCAGTGATCTTTTGGTTTAAACATTCGGTGGGAGCAGTTTTTAGTTTCATTCTGTTCTGAGTTGAACAGAGACTTTAATCCTTTTAGCAACATTTTCTTTGTTTAAAAACGATTAGCGACAAATCGAGCTTCTATTTCTGGTGTTTCTGTAGCTTCTTATATTTGGAGACTTTGACTTGTATCACAGTTTCTGTCCAGCGGGGACTGCTGAGCCCTTCCACCGTCACCAAGCACTCACAGGCAGACACACTTCACACTAGCCTTGTAACACGTAGTAATAACAAGCTGAACATAATAGCAGTTTGAATGTTGTGGACCGGGTTTTGGTGAAGCCATTAGAGTCTTGTTTACAAAGAAAAACTTAGAGTTAAACAGCAGGGCTGATCAACTCCTCATTAATTTGGTACAAAAGGTGGGGAAACATAAGATAAAAAACATTTTTATTGATCCCACAGTGGGGAAATGACAGGTCTTTTCAGCTGTCCTGGTATAACAGAGCTGGCTGCTGTAAAAGACTGTAGAATAATCTGGAAAATGATTATAAAAGCATTGGATCAATTAATTCCTTTAAAAAATCAAAGCAAATTTGTTAAAGAAATATGAAATTGTTTAATTTGTATTTGTATGAGTCACTGTTTGAGGAGCTCAATTTTTGTTTTGTTTTATTTGGTTTATTGTTTGAAATTAATATTTTTTGTAAATAGGAGCAGATATCAAGATCTTTTTCTACTTCTGCTTGTCTTTAATTTAATTTTATTTATATTGTCTTGTTGTATGTAATGTTTTGTTTTTTAAAATGAAACGAATAAATACTATAAGCTAAACAAAATGATGTGTAACAGGGCCACAGATCATTTTGTTGAAAAGGAACAGAGGGCAGAATTTATAACCCACACACTTTATGATGTAGGCTGAAACTGAGCTTCCTGTTGTTGAAAGACCAGCATCCACCACTGGTTTCAAGACACAGAAAAATACATTTACTTATAGTAAAAATACCTCTTGAGTGCATTTTTTGGTGCTTGGACTGTATTTAGAAGCAGTACAGACCCAAATGTAAGTAAAAAAAAAAACCTGAAAAAGTGAATTTTGCATATTTGGTCCCCTTTTAAAAAAATTCTAAATAAATTATGGATATTGATTGCATACCAGGTTTAAGCCACTTCTTGCGGTTGGTGGAGGGTGGGTGGAGGCACTCAGAAGAGTGGGTTTCCATGGACATGCACATTCTGAATGTGGTTCAGAAGAGATGTCCACTTTCCACTAACATCACCACTGGATGAAGCACATGCTGACAAGTAGAGGTTATTCTTGATGCTTTTTTTGCCACAACTTTGTCTTTATGCATCACAGCTGGCAGAAAGAAGTTGTCCATCCATCCATCCATCCATCCATCCATCCATTTTCTTCCGCCTATCCGGGGTCGGGTCGCGGGGGCAGCAGCTTCAGAAGGGAGGCCCAGACCTCCCTCTCTCCAGACACTTGGACCAGCTCCTCTGGGGGAATCCCAAGGTGTTCCCAGACCAGCTGAGAAACATAGTCCCTCCAGCGTGTCCTGGGTCTTCCTCTGGGTCTCCTCCCAGTGGGACGTGCCCGGAATACCTCACCAGGGAGGCGTCCAGGAGGCATCCTTACCAGATGCCCGAGCCACCTCAACTGGCTCCTCTGGACGTGGAGGAGCAGCGGCTCTACTCTGAGTCCCTCCTGGATGACCGAGCTTCTCACCCTATCTCTAAGGGAGAGCCCAGCCACCCTGCGGAGGAAACCCATTTCGGCCGCTTGTATCCGGGACCTCGTTCTTTCGGTCATGACCCAAAGCTCATGACCATAGATGAGGGTAGGAACGTAGATCGACCGGTAAATCGAGAGCTTCGCTTTCTGACTCAGCTCTCTCTTCACCACGACGGACCGGTACAACACCCGCTTTACAGCAGACGCTGCGCCAATCCGCCTGTCGACCTCCCGCTCCGTTCTTCCCCCATTCGTGAACAAGATCCCCAGATACTTAAACTCCTCCACTTGAGACAGGGCGACCCCCCTGACCCAGAGAAGGCACTCTACCCTTTTCCAGCTCAAGACCATGGCCTCGGATTTGGAGGCACTGAGCCTCATCCCGGCCGCTTCGCACTCGGCCACGAACCGCTCCAGCAAGAGCTGCAGATCACGCAGAACATCAGAATGAAGTTGTGCACATGTTTACTATGCATCATTCTGGAGAATGTTCTCACGTGCATTGCATTCAGCACCTGTAATGTAAAATCAGAGTACCGTAATCAGAAAAACCAATCAAGGTATCTTAACAGTAACAGTTTCCACACATGTACTTCATGTCTTTGTAGCTTTGTGAGATGCACTTGCCTGAGAAACTTAAACCTGAGTAACGTACAGTGATATTTTTTCAAGGCGAAGAAAAATCTGAGCTGTGGATAAGCACACATCTATTGCATGGCAGGGTCCCTCCTCTGTGGCTGTGCTTTGTGATGTTAGGCTGTATAAACAAAATGTGTTTGTCTTTTTGGATTATTTCATTATTTGATCTAACCTTATTCGTCTGGGTGAAAGAAGAGCCTGTGTAGACAGCAGCTCAGAGGTGTAGACTCCCTGCAGTAGAGCTGCCCTGAAGGGGTGGACTGGTGAACAGCTCTGGTGGAGGCACCTCTGGGCCACTGAAAGGAATGTTGCACTTGCAGACTCTTGAGCAGATGGGGCAGATTTTAAAAAAGTTCTAGTAGGCATTCATCAAACACCAAATATTTCTCCATGTCCTGCACTGGTTTGGCTGTTCTGTTGACCAAAAAATGTTGAAGGTGCAAGTCTAGTTAGTTCCAAAAATAGTTTTAAATACACGTTAAAGCAAAAATTTAAAAGGATCCATAACATGCAAAGTTAACTTACTGCTCTTTAGTGGTGTCAACAGATTCAGACATGCTGGGGAAGTAGGTGGTGTCAGAATCTACAACGCTTACACTGGCTTCAAACTCCTGAAAAGATGGACCCTCAAAGACAGGAGGCTTTTTTGTTGGGTCCTCAGGTCGTACGGCTTTCCGCTTCAGTGGAGTTGAAGAAAAGGTGTTGTGGTGCTGCTCACAGCAACACTCTTGTGGTCACAGTAGCCAGAGAACCTGTAAAACATATTTAAATTATAATGGTGATAAACTTTGTGATGTCAATATTTGTGAGAGGGGGTCCATCCGTTTTCTGCCGCTTATCTGGGATCGGGATGCGGGGGCAGCAGCCTCAGCAGAGACCCAGACCTCCCTCTCTCCAGACACTTGGACCAGCTCCTCTGGGGGAATCCCAAGGTGTTCCCAGACCAGCTGAGAAACATAGTCCCTCCAGCGTGTCCTGGGTCTTCCTCTGGGTCTCCTCCCAGTGGGACGTGTCCAGAACACCTCACCAGGGAGGAGTCCAGGAGGCATCCTTACCAGCCAGATGAACCACCTCAACTGGCTCCTCTGGACGTGGAGGAGCAGCGGCTCTACTCTGAGTCCCTCCTGGATGACCGAGCTTCTCAGCCTATCTCTAAGGGAGAGCCCAGCCACCCTGCGGAGGAAACTCATTTCAGCTGCTTGTATCCGACATCTTGTTCTTGCGGTCAGTAAGAGGGGTGTAGTAATGTAATACAAGACAGAACTGATCTGTATTGTACTTCAACAATAAAGGTTGCAAAATGTTTTATACTATGCACAATAGTTTCTAGTTAATAGTTTTTTGTAATATGGCAGTTACAGGCCACTCATTTTTTGTTCTACCATTTCTGAAAGTGTCAGACACTGGTACCTGCCAGTGAAAGTAGTATAAAGTGTTTTTTAACCTTAATCCCAGACAATTCTTAACTTAATGATAACAATTTAAAATGATTATTGAATGAGTGTTTTTGTCAACACCTATGGTGTGTGCCTAGAATATGATAAAGCCACAGACATTCAAAAAGACAAACTAAGAACTGGACTTAAAAACAAAACAATGTCTTTTGGGCGTCCCAAAAAATCCTGAAACTAAAATACCTTTAAACACAAATTGATCTATACCTTCAAAATTAATGTATCTACAGTTGAGACTTTACTCATTTACAACAATCCAATTATGCCTTTTACAATGTTTATTGAAGAAAATACAAAGATTTACTTTACACGGTCTTTAAGACTTTTACTCGATATTTCTAAAGGAGACTTTTACCAAAGTAATTTTTTGGTAGGATACTTATACTTTTACTCAAGTGTCACTTTGTGGTACACAATACCGTTTGTTACACGTAAAGGGTGTAAGACTCGACAATGAGTTGGATGATGGGCACCTGATGACCTTGTTAAAATCTATTAGCCCAGTTTTCTTCTACAATCCTTTAACAGTGATTGTATCAAAGCCATTGTAAAGTTTTCTTATGCATTTTACTTACATACACATGTAAAAGTGGTTGGGTGGTCAAAATTACATTTTGTTTTAAAGACAATGCTGTTCTACATTTAGGCAACTAAGAGCCACAGTTGTTTCACTGAAATGGTTTCGTCCATTGGTCATTGTATTGAGAGGATCAGTTCTGCATTGAACCCAAGTTTGTTTTAATTTAAAACAACACATCCATCCATTATCTTTTACCTGCTGCTTCCTTTCTGGATCACAAGGATCACTGGTATTTATTTTTATTTATTTACCATTATTTAACCAGGCAAGTCCCATTGAGATCTCAGATCTGTTTTTCAAGGGAGGCCTGGGCCTGAAGCAACCTATTTGACATGTTTTTAGGGGTGGGGGCTGCAGTCATTAAGATTAGAGTCCTCATCATCAAAGTATGTTTAATGATGTTTGCCTCTTTCAGTGAACATGAAGAATCACTATGAAAGTCCACATCTGCCGGGTGGTGAGTATTTATACTAACATGAAAGCTATGTACAGAATGTTTTTGTTTTGTTGGTACTTTTACATCAGTTGCGTTGTTTTGGGTCTCTGATAGATCACCTGTTTGAAGTGGCAGTCGAGGTGAATTTCAGCCACGATTTGGATGATTCCTGGGACAACTTAGCCAGGCAGTTGCTGCTGTCAGTGAAAGCTTTGGTGTGTTGATTAAAAAATGGAATAAAATCAAGTTATGAGCTATGAGTACATCTCTGGTATGTCAAGTGCTCACACCACTTTATGCTTTTCTGCAGATCACCAAACAATTGGGCAGTCTTCACACACAACTGTCCCTCTCTTCAAAAAGAATTAAAAGGTTTGTTGAAAACAGATCAACCAAATTCTTGTTGGCATTAGTTTCAGATGATAGTGATAGGGAAACAAGTGGACATATCAAATTTAGAAAATTAAGGGAAGAAATGCTGCAAGATATACAAAAACAATTGAAATATTATCAATTTTATATACATGAAACCTATGAGTTGAGTTGCTGTAAGGATCCATGTGGTACATGTTGGTGTTGTGTGCAGGTTGAATACTGGAGTTCTTTATATACTTTGGCTGCAGATTGGACAGGGGCCTAGAGGTGTGCAGATCCACAGGGCTGTCCACTCTGCCATGCAGGGGCTCCTTACCATGGATGTCAACCTCAGAGTCAGCCGCCGGAACGTTGTCGTCATGTCTGTGTCCACCACAGGTACAGCCAAACATCAAAAACTCTTTCAGGTCCTGCACTGATGTCACTATGCCTACAGTTTGCTTGAAATGCTTTAGTTTTTAGTGAAAGAGAGAAAAAAATCAAATGATACATTTCTGATACTTGAAACCACAAATATAACCTCCAACTTGCTGTAATGCATGTAAGTGTATATGTGTGTGGGTGTGTACTTGTTTTTACTACAGAGTGAGGACCATATGCACCATAGTTACTATCAAAATTAGATACGCATGGTGGTAACATAATGACCCCCGCACGCACAAATGCACCAGAACTCAGAGACATTTATTCCTAATAAATGTCATGCTACCAGGTGCATCCAAAATTGTAGTGGTTTGGGTGGGGGTCTTTTTCTTTCTTTTTTTTTTTTTTTTTGGTGCACTGATTGGTGGGCCTGATGGATAGAGCTTCATCAGAGCTAAACAACAAAAGAAATCTGAAGCTTCTATGTTGAACAGTTTCTGAGTTATAAGCATTTTCACATGTCCAGACACCCCCTCTTTGGACGGAGCCCCCTCCTCAAATATGGGGTCTATTGTAAAACCGTTGGCTGGTGCAGTGTGGGTCAGACTCATCTACAGTCTTGCCAAATTTCTTGTTGATTGGTGCAGCTGTTTTTGTGCTACGGTTGACCAAAAATCACTGAAAAAAAAAAAGAAACAAAAAAAGTACGAAAACAATATGACTCCCAGTTAAGCTTCGCGTGTGGGGGTCATAATAAGGTCTTTGATGTAAAGTGAGGACCTCTTCAATGCCCTCACTTTATTTGCAGCTTCATTGTGCTTTTTGTTCAGGTTAGGAATAGACCATTAACAGTCAGTTTTAGCAAAAAAATGTCTGGTTTAGGCATAAATAGTTACAAAAATGAATGGAAGTGAGTACAAAATCCTCAGATTTGCAAATACAAGTGTGTGTGTGCATTCAATTCAATTCAATTCAAAAATACTTTATTGATCCCAGAGGGAAATTAGGTGTTGTTGTAACTCATTTAACTAAAAACTTATTGTAGATGCTGATGGCTGTGGGCAGGAAAGATCTTCTGTAGGTCTGTATTACAGTGAAGTTGAAGAAGCCTCCGACTGAAGACACTTTGTCTTTCTATGACAAAGGGTTTTCCTTTATTACATTACATTAAAGTTCATTGTGTGTGTATCAAATAAAGTTTTGAGTACATTACAAATG